TTAAGACACAGCCCTGAGGCACACCGTTCTCTTGAGTAAAAGTTCCTGAAAGTGTGGTGCCCAAACGAACCTGAAAAGTTCGGTTCGATAGAAAGTCGGACAAGCAGTTGAGCATCCTTCCGCGAATTCCAAGATCTGCCAGGTCTCGTAAGATACCGTACTTCCACGTTGTGTCATTTGCCTTTTCAAGATCGAAAAATACTGCTAAGCAGTGCTGCTTGTACAGGAAAGCTTCTCGTACTGTATGTTCAAGGCGAACGAGGTGATCGGTGGTGGAACATCCTTTCTTGTAACCACATTGGTGAACATCTATCAAGTTATCGGTTTCTAGGATGTATGTTAGCCTAATATTAATAACGCTTTCGAAGGATTTCGCCATACAACTTGTAAGTGCTATGGGCCTGTAGCTTGTTGGTAATGTAGGGTTTTTTTCGGCTTTGAGAAATGGAATAATAATGGCTTTTTTCCACTCTCTTGGCATTTTTCCAGTGATCCAAATAGCGTTAAAGAAGTGCAGCAATGCCTTCACGGCTTCCTGGGACAAATGGGCGAGCATTTCGTAATGTATTTTGTCTGGGCCAGGTGCTGTTTTTTTTACCTTGAGAAAGCACTCTGTTAATTTCCTGCAGGGTTAAGGGGGAGTTGTATGATCTGTCGTGATAACCTGTAATAGGAAGCTTTTGCTTTTCTGTAGATTGTTTATGTTTTAGGAAAGCTGCCGAATAGTTTGCTGAGCTCGAAATAGCGCTAAAGTGCTGCGCTAGCAGGTCTGCCTGTTCGCCTAAAGTTGTCTGGATGCCAGGGGTTGAGAGAATGGGGATGGTATATGAACTGTAGTTGCCGGTAAACTTGTGCACCTGATCCCACATTCTTTTAGATGTGATGGAGCTGTTGATGGATGAAATGTACTTTTTCCATGAGAGTTTTTCAGCCTGCCTGCGAATAAATCTTGCCTTTGCTCTCGCCTTTTTAAATGCTAGGAGGTTCTCTCCTGTAGGATGTTTACGAAAAATGCCCCACTCCTTTTGTTGCATTTTTTTAGCTTGTGTGCACTCTTTTGTCCACCAGGGTTTAAGTTTTTTCTTTATAATGCCGGAGGATTGTGGTATAGTTTGTTCAGCTGCCGCAAGTATGCAGGCGGTGACTGTCTCGTTCATTTCCTCTATGCTTTGGCCATCAAGCATCTCTTTTTTTAGGGCAGCTTTTTCAGTGAACAGTGGCCAGTCTGCCAGATGTAGTTTCCAACGCGGTGGTCGGGATTGAGTGGTGGGTAGGGTTTGTGTTAATTTTATGAGAGCAGGCATATGGTCACTGCCGTAGACATTATCTATCACGCTCCACTTTAGTTCGCAAAAGAGCGAAGGTGAGCACAGCGCTAGATCTAAGCAGCTAGTGGCTCCTGTGCTTGGGGAGCAGTAGGTGACGCTACCAGTATTTAAAAGACATACGTCATTGTTCAGAATAAAATCTTCGAGGGTTTGTCCTCTGGTGTCAGTTGTACTGCTTCCCCAAAGCATTCCGTGCGCATTAAAATCCCCTGCAATAACAAACGGTTCAGGCAGTTGGTCCAAAATATGCTCTATATCTTTAATTGAAAAATGCGTGTGTGGGGGGATATAAATGGAACATATGGTAATAGTTTTGTGAGCTAAAATGGTGACGGTTACGGCCTCGATGTGACTGTTGATGGTGATCTCTCTCACTGCAATTCCACTTTTGACGACAATAGCCACGCCACCGCACAACCGGCTAGCGTGGACGCGATCGCGACGTACTACAGTAAAACCTCTGAGGAAGTTGGTGTGTTTTTCTCCCAGATTGGTCTCCTGTAAGCACATAGCCATTGGAGAGAGACTACTTAGCAATTATTTTATGTCACCTATGTTGTGAATGAGTCCTCTACAATTCCAATGGAGAAGAAAAGCCATTTTGGGCAGTGAACTTGAGCAGAAAAATGGAGTAGGAATTGATTTGTTGGCAATACAACCTTGGTGACATGCGTGTAATACTAAAGTCAAAACAGAATGGTACCATGACCTTTCAGGTTATGGAAAATGAAACTTATTTTGCAGGGCTTTTTGGAGGCCCTGTAATTTGTCTTTTGTCTTTTTTGGAGCGGTCGAGAGAAACTCGCCGCTCCTTCGGCGCTGCACGCGCCGTTTGACTGGCAGTTGTGTCCATAGCTTCATGAGAAGCGTTGGACCGTCGCTCTGCCGAGCGATCCCTGGGCGTTGTGGGCTTCGGCTCAAGATGCGAAGCCTTCAAACCCTCTACACCGGACGTCGACGGGGTTCCCGCAGTCTGCCCGTTGCCTTGGCTCATGCCAATGCATGTCGACGCCCGTGGTGGGGCCTTGTTGAGTAAGGCCGGAGCAGCCTTGGCTGCTCCAGCAGTAGGGGCAAGCGGCGGTCGCTCCAGCACGCTGAGCGTAACTTGGGCAGCCACCTGATGCTGTCGTGGTTCTGCCCCCTGTTGCACCACTTCAGCAAATGATTTTGTTGCATAGAAAGGGGAGACCCGATGCCTTGCTTCGCGGAAACTGATGTTGTGGGTGACTTTAATGGTAATAATTTCTTTTTCTTTTTTCCATGCTGTGCAGGATCTAGAATACGCCGCGTGTTCTCCATCGCAGTTCGCACAGTGGGGTTCAGCCTTACAGTCATCATCTGCAGAGTGGCCTGTGATACCACACCGTGCACAGGTAAGCTGCCCACGGCAACTCTGAGAAGCATGTCCGAATCTTTGGCACTTGAAGCAGCGCCGCGGATTCGGAATGTATGGTCTCACAGACAGTTTTAGATAGCCGGTAACTAATTCTTGCGGTAGTGTGGAGCACCCAAAGGTCACAATTATGTGCTTGGTTGGAATTTCTTTGTTTTCTCTTCTCACTACGATACGCTGTACGTGAACGACGTTTTCGTCCTTCCAGCCAGCCAGAAGCTCGTCATTTGTTAGGTCTTTTAGGTCGTCGTCTGACACAACGCCTTTGACGGTGTTCATCGTTCGGTGCGCAGAGACGGTTACGGGCTTGTCCCCAAATGCTACTAATTTTTCTAGTTTCTGAAACTGTGTCTTGTCTTTAACTTCCACTAGCAAGTCTCCGCTTGCCATCTTTGTAGCCTTATAGCCAGTTCCGATAGTCTCGGTTAGGCACCTGGACACGAGGAATGCGGAGATGTTGCGAGCTTTTTTGTCCGAGCTTTTGCAATGAATAGCGTGGTACTTAGGGAAATGGTCTTGTTTTTCTGAAGTTGGCATTACATTTGCTTCGGTGCGCCACCTTTTGAAGGGGCGATCAATGGATAAGGGGTTTCGTGATCCCATAGAAAAGTGCAATTCCTTCAGTAATGGCGCCTACCACCCACCACGGAGCCCAACAAGGGGACGTGGCAGAACATGTAAACGTGTCTGCGCAACGCCAGTAGTACGCCACTGCCATAACCTTATATATCTATCCAAGTTTGGATATTTACACCAGGTTAACCCTTGCCGCCAGGAAAAATTGGAAGTAAAATGAAATGAGGAGAAGACAGGAAAGATGTAAAGTGAGAACAAAAGACGAAGATGTAGGGAGAGAGAGATAGGAAAAGGCGACTGCCGATTTCCCCTGGGTGGGTCAGCCCAGGGGTGCCGTCTACGTGAAGCCGGGGCCAAAGGGGTGTGTTGCCTCTTCCGGGGGTCCTTAAAGGTCCAATCACCCAGCGTCAGCTCAACCCCCAGGATCCCCTTTTCCCCGGACACGGCAAAGCCACGCACGGCTAGGCGTGGGAAGGAGCCGAAGCTCCCCCGTTAGCTCGGGTCCGTGGTGTCGCTACACACCAAACGCCTACTTGCGCAGGCGCCCCTGCGGGGGAGTGTTAAAAGGATGTGTGGTTCGTCCTTTTGGGGACTAATGAGGCTGCCACAACTATTAATTCCTTTAAGGACTAACGGCACTGGGAATAACAGTTAGTCTCCACAGGCGAGCTCAAGGGACTAACTGTTAGTCCTCACAATTACATCTTAGTGAGTAACTGTTAGTCCCACAATGCACCTCGGAGTACTAACATTTAATCCTCACAATTGCATCTTATAGGGCAACTGTTAATCCACACATTTACACCTTACCCTGCAACCGTTAGTCTTTACAGCTGCACCTCGCCGGACAAACGGTTGATCCACTGAAATACTCCAATCGGTCGAACTTTTTATCCCCAGTTGTTCGGAACGTCTTTCATTCATTTTCCGTCGGGCCAATTACTTTTTTCGCCTGTTTTTCTGCGCTGTGAGCAACAAATAGCGCAGAAAAGAACACGCGAAAAAGTAGTTAGCCACCTATGTGTAACTGCTTTCGCCTTCATCGCAACAATTAAAGGCAAAAGTGAGAGATCTAAATCTTTTATTTTTCTACAAACACATAAAGTATCTCCATTCTTTTAAGTGAATTTACGGTGAAGTGTGCAAGTCCAGTCTCTTGTTCACTCCTTCTCCACTTGTTCACTCCTTGTTCACTTGAACATCTTGACAAGATGTTCACTTGACAAGGAGTGAACATCTTGTTCACTCCTTGTGCAGCTCCTCCAGTGAAAGCGATAGATGACAAGCATTGCAGACGCCAGCGCACGCAGCCTTCTGCCTATTGTGTTCCCACGGCTGTACGTAAAATAAGATTGCGAAAATAGTTAGACACACGTGACAGAAGATGAAGACGCAAGCATCTTCGAACAAGAGAGTGAGCGAACTTCGCGAACTTCGAACAAGAGAGTGAGCGTACGCTTGGCCGCCGCCACAAACAGCCCCGAGCTGGTTTATGCAGTATCGTAAGGGCGAAGAATAAGACGATGCATGGCCAGAACAAGAAGGAACAACAATGTTTATTCACGAGGCTGCTGTCTTGGTTTTAATACCCTGGCCCGAGGCCGGAGCATGCGCCGTGGCGAGGGGTGGAGGCACGTGTTATCGGTATGTTCTTCGGCGCGTGCACCTGATAATCTACGATATATCACTTCCTCCCCTCTGAGCTAGAACCTGTCCGGCGGCTTGCGGGCACGGGTGGAGCGTCGGAGTGGGAGTGGTTCTGCCGTGGACCTTGGACTTGCTGGCTCGATGCCACTGCCAGACGCTTCCTCACCAGGCTCGGACAGACTGACCTGAAGGGCTTCGCTGCTAGTTGACTGGATGCCGCTGGATGAGAGTGGCAATTGCTCCATGGCTATTGGCGTTTCGCTCGGTTCTTTCTTAACTGGTGTCGACGAGTCGCGTGGTCTTACTTGATCGACGTGTCTACGTTGCACCCCCCTTGGCGTGTTAACGGTTAACAATCGCTTGCCTTCGACTGTTGTCACGGTTCCGGGTAGCCACCTTTGACCTAGCTGACTGTACTGTCGACTCCACACCTCCCTTCCTGGTGCAAACTTTTTCTTTCCAGAGTTCGGAACTCCGTTGACGGTAGCCTCCCTCTTCGCCCCGTCTTCCTCTGCCAGGTAGGTGCTCAGGCGGGTCCGTGGTTGGAATCCAAAAAGCCTTTCCGCGGGCGACTGCTCCTCTCGGGTCGGTGTTGTCCTGTAACGCAACAAAAATTTGGCAAGCCGACTTTGCAGCGTTCCCACCCGATTTTTCTTCAGGCCCTCCTTGATGGTGCGTACTGCCCGTTCCGCCAAACCGTTGGATTGCGGGGTAGTATGGGGCCGTAGTTACGTGGCGCACCCCATTTTCCCGGAAGAACCGCGCTGTCTCTGCACTGGTGAATTGCGGACCATTATCCGACATGACAGTCCGTGGTATGCCAAATCGCGCGAAAATGCACCGAAGTGTGTCTACCGTAGTCGCTGCTGTCGCCGTCTTCAAGGGCACTGCTTCGATCCACTTAGTCTCGGCGTCGACGAGGACGAAGATCATATGCCCTTCCACGGGACCAGCAAAATCCACGTGTAGGCAGTACCACCGTCTGTGGTTCTTTGGCCAGCTTGCCGGGACCTGCGCTGGGGGCATGGGCAAACACTGCACGCATTGGGGACACCGTTTTGCAAGCATTTAAATTTCACCGTCTAGCCCTGGGTACCAGAAAATTGAGCGCGCGAGGTTCTTCGTTGCCGTCATGCCTGGGTGCGTATCGTGCAACTCTTTCAAAACAAATTGCCGGGCAGCTTTAGCCAGAACCACACGGTGGCCCCAGTAGAGTATCCCGTTACTCACGGCCAATTCATGCCTCCGTGCAAAATACGGTTGGTACTGCTGTTCCTCTGAACCGAGACGACTTGGCCAGCCTTGCAAGATCCAAGTCTTCACTTGCTGAAGTACGTCATCTTTGCTGGTGTGGTCTGAAATACTCTGCGCAGACAAAACAAAATCATCCATAGCCTGCGCATGCAGGACATATTCGGCTAGTTCATTTTCCCAGCCATTATCGCGAACCGGTAATGGCAACCGGCTTAGAGCGTCGGCATTTGCATTTAGCTCTCCTTATCTGTATTCCAAGTCGTATTGATAAGCTGCTAAGAGCAGCGCACAACGTTGAATGCGGGCCGCTGCCATTTGCGGAATGGGTTTATCTGGACCTAGCAAACCAGTCAGAGGCTTGTGATCGGTCACCAGAGTGAACTTGTTGCCAAACAAATAATCTCGAAATTTTACAACGCCGAAGACCAGCGCTAGTGCCTCCTTTTCCAATTGTGAATAATTACGTTCCGCCGACGTTAGAGTTCTCGAGCGGAACGCTATGGGATGATCCACTCCTTGTATGCGGTGCGACAAAACTGCGCCTATACCCTCGGCCGACGCATCACACTCAAGCCGCAAGGGTCTTTGGGGGTCGTAATGCACAAGAAAGTTCGCCCTTCTCATGGCGCGCTTGGTTTCTTGGAATGCTGTTCTCTGTGCGGGCCCCCAACACCACAGTGCTCCTTTAGACAAGAGTCGGTGTAACGGGGCCAAAGTGTACGACAAGTTCGGTAGAAATTTGGAATAGTATGTGACCAGTCCTAAGAATGATTTAAGCTGGCTTACCGAAGTCGGTGGCGGTGCCGCTAGCACTGCTTCCAAATTGTCCTGCAGTGGGTGGAGGCCTTTTGCATCGATTCGGTGCCCTAGAAATACCACTTCTTTCTCCCGGAAGTGGCACTTCTCTTTGTTCAGTGTTAGGTCGTTCGCCCGAAGTCGTTCGAACACTTGCCGCAGTATCGTTGTGTCATACTCTTTTTCTGCTACAATAATGTCGTCCAGGTAAACTTTCACCCCTGGTATACCCTGCAGCGCGGCTTCTATGCGCCGCTGAAACAGCGCAGGCGCTGAGGCAATGCCAAAAGCCAAGCGGTTGTAGCAGAAGAGGCCTTTGTGTGTATTCAACACAGTTATCTTCTTAGCATCATCATCATGGGGAAGCTGGTTGTATGCGTTTCGTAAGTCGAGTGTGCTGAACACTTCGCCTCCTGATAGCGCCGCAAAGATGTCGTCAATTTTCGGAAGCGGGTACTGCTCTGTTCTTGTCGCTAGATTAACTGTTAGCTTAAAGTCCCCACACAGCCGGATGTCTCCGTTCTTCTTTACTACGGGCACGACCGGTGTTGCCCATTCAGCCACGCTCACTGGGGACAGCACGCCCATTTCCACCAGTCGGTCAATTTCGGCGGAGACTTGCGCTCTCATGGCATACGGGACTGTCCGAGCCTTCAGAAATCGAGGTTGCGCACTTTCCTTGAGGTACAGCTTCACCGGTGGTCCCTTACAGCATCCGAGGTTCTCAAAGAGGTCCGGAAACTCGTCAAGAAGTGCGGTTAGCTGGCTGTCGGCGTGAACAACATTCACCGAAGACGACGTGCCTTCTACTAGCAACATGCCTGCTTTGCGAAATTTCTCTATCGTGTCCCTTCCGCACAAAAGGGGCCCTCGATGGTCCACTACTATCAGCGAACTGCTCACCGTTACTGGTCCAAGCTGTACCTGCATGTCTACCTTGCCAACGACCGGCAACGGTCCCAGGAAACATGAAAGGCGTAGTGGAGTTTTTTTTGCAGAGCCGGCCACCACTTGCGATGCTTCTTGTACAAGCTTTTGGGAATCACGCTTACTGGTGATCCAGTATCGACAATCATTCGCAGCCTACGGCCTTCCCACGTTAAGGTGCGCTCGATTGGCTGCACCAAGTGCTTATTGGCGGAACTGTGTGCAACGAGAGCATACAACCTCTCTTCTTCGCTTTCACATTCGGTTCCGTCGACAGCGAACGTTCCTGACCTGGGGGTGTGGGGTCTTTTGCAAGCCCTAGCAAGATGCCCTCTTTTACCACAATGATGACATATGGATCTGCGATGTCGCCAGGACGCCGTTGCATGCGCCCCTTTGCATCTGTCGCATGAAAGGCTGCAATTCTTCCTCCACTGTCTGCCTTGTTGCTGTATCACGTTGACGCCGCCACCTTCGGTCTGGGCGTATGAAGTACGCATGCCCCGAGCGTCTTCGTTCTCTTTCTCAGAAGCTAAGGCGAATTCTTCGGCTTCTTCACGAGTCAAGTTCTTGCGGCCCAGCAGGCACCGGCGCGTTTCCTCATCCCGCATCCCACAAACGATTCGGTCCCGCAACATACGGTCCAGTGTCGCCCCGAAATTACAATTTACGGCCAGTCTTCTCAGTTCAGCAATGTAGTCCCGGACGCTTTCTTGCTCATCTTGTTTTCGCATAAAGAAAGAATAGCTTGCTGCTATTTCGTTTGCCTGAGGGTTGAAATGTTCTTCCAAGCATTTCACAACGTCATCGTACGTCAAGGAGTTGATGGCGACCCCGGCTGGTGCCCTTGCAATATCTGGACGACACTGTCGCTCAACGATGAAACCAGTAGGGCCCGGCGTTTCGCTACGTCGGTAATATCGTTGCCCTCAAAGTAGGCTTCCAACCGGACACAATACGTGCTCCAGCTACTCACGGCGTCGTCGAAGGCAGGGGGTCGGGATCCCATTCTTCTGGTCTCAGCGTCGGAGTGCAATTAACCGGATCCCATCCTCGTCGCCACTGTAGTATCGTAAGGGCGAAGAATAAGACGATGCATGGCCAGAACAAGAAGGAACAACAATGTTTATTCACGAGGCTGCTGTCTTGGTTTTAATACCCTGGCCCGAGGCCGGAGCATGCGCCGTCGCGAGGGGTGGAGGCACGTGTTATCGGTATGTTCTTCGGCGCGTGCACCTGATAATCTACGATATATCAGTTTATAGCTAGCACCGAAGAAATTGACGGTAATGCGGCCCTTTTCCGCAAACTCGAGCGAGTGCAGCTTGCAAACGCGAGTCCGCCGCCGCGACCAACGGACGGCGCCGAGATTCTTGTGACCGACTGAGAGGGAAGCCAACTGTAATGGCGACAATTTTCACCGAGTTACAATGCTAGCCAAATCCCCGCCAGCCCGTGCTGGAGCACTTACAGCCCGCGACCTACTACAACCAAGCTCGTAACGAGAACCCGCAACGTGTTTTCGACGACTCCCAACACAGCGACGAGATCTCAGCTGAATATCGTGAGCCCGGAGCTCATCGTGGCGGCGAAGACAGGCGAGCATTCGATGAGCGAGCGTACGGGAAGCCAACTGCCAAGGCGGCCAATTTACAGGCTGTCGCAAAGCACAGGCGAACTGCACACGCCTAAGCTGACCTTCTCGGTGCATTTCGTGCGTGCGATATATAACACAACCGAGACTGTTGCCGGCAAGCGCGATCCGTATCGCACATGCGACAAGTAGATTAGAATGAACAATGATCATCTACTTGCGAAAGAATTGAGCGCTAATTTCTGGCCTGAGTCGGATTTGAGTAAAGTATCTGATAGGCCGGCTGTCTTTTCGGCTGCTATGTCGGCCTTCCCAACTGTCACTGTCGTCTGTTAGTCGTGACTATCTTGAAGCTAGAGATATACAGCAGGGTGTGGGGACGTGTCGAGACCTTCACTCTTAAAAAAAAGGTAGCAAAAAGGTAGCAACTGCAAGCAAATAGGTAGTAACGGCAGCAATTACTACCTTTCTTTGACCGTTACTACCATTTGCTACCTATTTACTACCTATGTCAGTAAACAGTTACTAACTGCGATCGTGTCAAACTTTTTGCGACCTGTTTATTACCTACGTTAGTTAACAGCCAGTAAGTGGAATGAAAGAGGTAGTAATGGCAGCCGTTACTACCTTTTCGCTTCCCGACTTTGGACTAGCTAATCCAAAGTAGTGTGTAAATGAGATTTTGGTCATTCATGAGAGGAATCGTCTCGACGTATTATCATTAAACGGAAAAAATGACGGTGAAGGTATCCACAGATCAAGAAAATACTTTTTGTTTTAAAATACGCAACCGGGATAAGTAAACATCATTCAGATACTGTCGAAATGAAGCAGTACTAGTTAACAAACCACAAGCTAGTGCTACATGTGTTGTAATAGACAATTACAACAAACTTAATAAAATAGAGCACATATTAACAAGACTGGCAGATCAAAATAAGCAGACGGTCACAATTAGCCCCGAGTACAGTCAGTTATTCTACTGCGGCATGTCTCCAAATATTATCAATGTTTTGGCGCGTCAAACTTCAAAACGGCTATTACCTTTTAAATGCTGATGTATTAGCCATGTGAAGCATTCAAATGCACTGAGAATGAGTTCGGTACCTTGTTCCGGCCACTCTACATAATGCCTTATTGTGGTTCTTTTATAATAAGAAAATAAAAAAATTGTTCATAAATAATGCTAAATAAAAGTCTTGCGCTACGTTACCAAACATAGGTAACCAGATGGTATAATATAGTGTTATATGTTTAAATTAGTTTAATTCATCCTGAAACACAAGTGCTCCCCTTTGCCATGCATGCCCCTGCAAAGTAGGGGCTATATATACCCCACGCTTACATCTTACATGCAAGTGGAAGCTCTCACAAAAGAGCGAGATGTGTATAAGACTACCAACTGTGTTGAAGATGTAATATCTTTGTTTGATGCGTTATCACACATGAAACACGTGTGATGGTGTTTGTCACATTAGCAATAGGCAATAAAGAGAGAAAAACTGTAAATAAATAGTGAACTTGTTTTGTCTATGCATTCTTTGCATTCATGGCACACCACGCTTCCTTAACCAAAGTTGTCTGGCAATGACACATTAACACAACATTAGCATTAAGGAAATACTATTTCGAAATGAATGAACAAGGTAGTATTTTTTACTACTTTTTTCTTGAAACCTTTAAATGTTACAACCCATGGGTGGTATCGGCTATGGTAGTAACAGTTACTAAATGCTGGTTGTAAAAACAGAGGTAGTAACTGTTACCACCCCTGCCGTTACTAACTGTGCTGACTACCAGGGTTGTAACATATGTGACAAACCATTACTACCCCAAAGTAACGGAGGTTCGCCAGTTCGGCAGAGGAGCCATACTGTGCTTTTCGCCAGACTAGTCCTGTGTTCAAGATCTACTGAAATGCTGGACGCTTGCATCCCAGTAGGTGAACGCGTTCATACCTTCACATTTAGCATGTATCCGAGGTCTAGTGTAGCGTGGCGTCGATGCCAACATGCCACCCTCCGAAGTACTAGAGCAGTTTTCGCCAGCAGGAGCTATTTCAGTCTACCGGTGTGGACGGGTGGTTGATAAGAATAAAATACCAACTGAGTCTGTAATTGTGACCTTTGCGGGATCAGTCCGACCATCCGAAATTATGGCTTGGCCTTTATTTATAGAGTAGAACTTCTCTCTTCTCGTCCGATTCAATGCTTAAAGTGTTGGCGTTATGGTCACACATTGAAAGGTTGTAGGTCAGCGGTCAGGTGTAAGGTAAGCTGGGAAGGTTACAGTTCTAGTGACTCTCAGAGTAATAAAAAGTGTTGCCTATGTAACGAAGCTCATGCTGCTGCTAGCTCTAGCTGTTCGGAAAAGGTACGTGAACGAAGACGGTGTTTCCAGAAGGAAGCAGCACCTGAAATACAAGCACGAACACAACGCTACGCGGATGTTACAGCTCGTAATACGCCAACAATGGAAGCTCTCTCTGTCCCTATTGCTAAAGCAATTGAGAAGGCAGTGGAGAAGGCAATGGAGTGCATTGCTGGGAATCTTTGTGAGTCCTTGCCCCAGATTCTATCGAACCAGATGGCTCAAATGTTGGGTACAGTGGAAAACAATCTCAGTGCACCACCTAACATTAGTGACTCCTCGGAGTTTGCAAAGGAGTATGGCTCTTATACGCCACAGCAGGATACGTAAACCCTTCACATTCGTGACTCCCCTGAGATTTCAATGGAGTATGGCTCCAATACGCCACAGCAACCTACGATAGCTGCAGATTCAGTAGAGGAAGGTAGCGTGCCTCAATGCGACCTTACCAGGAAAGTGGAGGACTCAGATGGAATGGAGACAGATCGCCGATCGCTAATGCGGTCGAGATCCCCTTTGTACCGAAAGGCATCGCACCTGTCAATTCAAAAAACCAAAAAGTACCAGAAGAACACCCTGTCCAAACCTGGTTTTCTTAACGAAAGTATTCTAAACAAGGCAGTCACTGAGGCCATTTTAGAGCAACATTAGGTCAATTAAAATAGATCATTGCAATTACCAATCAATTCACTCTGCAGTAACTGATCTAATATATTTGGCATCGAAAATTTCTCTAGATATTATTGCACTACAAGAAACTTGCCTTTTAATGCATCAGCCTTTACAATTATAAAGATTCAGATGTTTCCGTCTAGACCATTCATCAAAAGCTAGAGGTATGGCATTTTTTAATAATAACAGAATAAGTCTCGAGGCGAAAATTGCGTATAAGCTCATGTCGCCTGACAATGAAATTCTCGCCTTAGAAATAACCTTACCAGGCTGCATGCATTTATTGGTGTTATATGCATACTTTGCTAAAGGTGCAATAGATACTCGATCTTTAGACGCTGCAATGGCTTCTCGTTGTCAAAATAAA